ATGTTAACAGGTTTTACCATGTTATTACAACATTTAACCACTTTTTATTAATTTAAAAATTGAGAAATTTTTTCAAATTTAAATCTTGCACAAGAACTACAGCAAAAACCAGTTTGATGCATATTTTATCAATATTTTAGAAATTGTATTTGAATATTACCAGTACTTTGAACACAACTGCTCAAAACGGCCTCAATTTATGAAACCTACACATTCAAAACATTACTCTGAAATGTTTAAGGTAAATGTTAAGTGTAAGTGAACTGTTAAGTAATGTAAGGTCTTTCATGACACTACATATTCTGGGGTGTGAATTTGATAGGTGCTTGATATAAAATAAATGGTGCTTTAAAAAGTCCTTGAATCTGGTGTTCATGAAAGAGTGGGAACCCTGTTGGTAGCTACCTGAATAAGGCCCTAATATACTCAGGGTGAAGTTATTTTTCATTATTTTCTCAGGGGTAAAAACTAAAGATGCACCGATTGCAATTTTCTTGGCCGATTCCAATTTCCGATTTTTTGGAAGTGTGACCTGCTGATACCGATTTTTGCCGAATCCGATTTTCTTTTTAAGAACAATAATTTACAGCATATACAAACAAAAATTTATGCAGATTTCAATGCAAAAATTATTTACATAATAAAAGAAATTATTAAACATTACAAGTCCCCCAATCTGGACTAAGTTACAGATTTTCTCTCACTTAAACAACTCTCAAAATGAAGTGCTCTGTGACTGGAAAGAGGAAGAAATTGTTAACTTAAAATTAGTTGCTGTATGTAACAAAACAGATGTCATTTCCCACTATGTTTATAAATGGTCATTTTTTCCCCTTAACCTTATTAAATGTGTCATCTTTCACATCAAATTCTTACTTTGTTTCAATTAATTCAGTTAGAATAATAAGAAACTGTAGAGTTGCAATTGTACTTTTAAATATGACTAAACCACCAGTAGGTGGTTTTAATGAGTGAGTCATTTATTCATTCATTCAACCGATTTATTCAAACGGCTGATTCATTCAGAAACAATGCATGTGACTGTCTTTATGAATGGGCCACTGAATCATTGACTCACTCGATTCGTTCAAAAACATGGATTCATTCAGTAACAAAACACTGCTGTGTGTTGCTTGGAGACACAACGGTTCTGCTGTGGCTTTGATCGGAACTATTTTCGTCAGCAAAATTTAGCAAAAACAGTCAATATTTTGTCTAAAATCTAAGTCACTTAATTTTAACTTCTTGTTTATTGAAATACTATTGTATAAAATCAGTGTCACATTGCAATCGTGTTGATATTGATATTCGAGGAAACATCATGGCTGTATAATGTTGCTTACCTAATTCATATTTTGTAAATATCTTCTTTTTTTTTTTCTACCCCAGTACGCATCTCTAAATTTCTATGAGTTACTTTGTGTGTGCAGTCTCTCTCACACACTCACTCAGGCTGTGCAAGCCTCATCTGGCACGACATAAATACATTATCAGTCGCCGTTTACACTGAATGCAATTAAAATTAGAATCATTTTCACGCGAAATGACATGTTTACACATGACTGTGAGTGTGCGCGTGGCTGTGACGTCATTGCCGGCGCCGCTGGTAATAAAAGCATCGGCTCGGAATCGGCAAGACGCGAGACTGACTGGCTGGTCATCGATCCGGGCCGGTCATGCGAAAAATCGTCCGATTCTGATCACTGGCCGGTCAATCGGTGCATCTCTAGTAAAAACATGTTTAATTTACCAAAAATGGTCCAATTTCTATTATCAATAGTGTAGATATACTATATCAAGCACATTTCAAACGAAAGTCAATTTCAAACCAAGCAGCTTTCTGTGGGTCAGTGTGGCAAATTCGCATGATTGAAGCCGATGCGAGTTTCACACAGAATTCTTGATTGTGTGGATTCCTTAAAGGGATAGTTCACCCAAAAATGAAAATTCTGTCATTAATTACTCACCCTCATGTCGTTCCAAACCTGTAAGTCCTCCGTTCTTTGGAACACAAATTAAGATATTGTTGATGAATTCCAAGAGCTCTCTGACCCTCCCGTAGACAGCAAGTATCCTAACACGATCATGGTCCAGAAACATCGTTAAAATAATCCACGTGACATCAGTGGTTCAACCGTAATTTTTTCAAAGCTAAGAGAATATTTTTTGTGCGCAAAGAAAACAAAAATATCAACTTTATTCAACAATTTGTCTCCTCCGCGTCACCCTGGCACCATTTTGGAGAGTATCACAGATGTAAACAGCACATGCAACGTATGTACGCGGATAAGTTGTTTGCATTCAGATCAAAGTGTAAACAATGTAAACAAGGTATCTGCATACGGTGCTGCTGACACAGAATAGCATATGTCGTTAGAAACTTCATTTTCAGCTGTAAAGCAGCTCCCCAGTATGTTCATGTTTTTACTTGTGTCTGTATTTATCATAGACCAACTGCAGTTTGAACCACTGGGTATTGTGATCCAAACATGAATTTCTTCATTCTTTGGAACACAAAAGATTTAAAGAATGTTAGACCACCAAGAATAGAGCCAACTGAGTTTCATTGTATGGACAAAAAAACTTGAAACATTTTGCATAATATCTTTTTTTGTGCTCCACCAAAGAAAGCCATACAGGTTTGGAAAGACACAAGGTTGGTTAAATGACAGTCTTTTCAATTTTAGGTGAACTGTCTGTTTAGGTACAGTACGTTCAATGAAACTGTGCTTGCATTGCATTAGCATAGAGTATGTCTCTGGCTTTACTGTGTTGTCAAGTGTGTGAGTATATGCTTTACTGCTCAATCTGAAGAGAAGGTTTGTAGGTCAGGATGTTGCTCACTGCAGCCCAGCCAAAAATAGACCAGCCACAGGTAATGTTTCTCTCGCTTCTTCTCAATGCAGCTGCAATGGTTTACACAACTGGACCTGTCTGTCTGAAATTTTCATTGATCATTGGATGCCTGTGTTGCAGCAAAAGCTACAGTTTAGATGGAGCATCATTTCATCAAAGCCTTGTGTCTTTCCTCAGTCCTACAACCCCAGAACACCATAGGAACCACTCACAACACTTAGCAGCTGAGTGACAACATCCAGAAACCCTAGTAACCCCCAGCAATGCCCTATCATTGTGTAGACACAACTTTAAAGCAGTAGTTTTAGATGGACAAACACCATTCACATTTTCTTCTTCTTCTTCAAAAAGTAGAACTTATTCTTTTTTCCTTGCATTTATCTTGTATTTTTTTCACATTATGCAGGGATGAGAGGAATCAGTCCATCATTGTGAGCGGAGAATCCGGAGCAGGGAAAACTGTCTCAGCCAAATACGCCATGCGTTACTTTGCTACGGTCAGTGGCTCTGCCAGCGAAGCCAATGTGGAAGAAAAAGTTCTGGCATCCAACCCCATCATGGAGGTGAGTTTTTCCTGCATCACTAGATCAGTGCGCCATTCTGGACTCAGTACTGAGACTTGGGCTGTTTGTTTTTATGAAGGGCTTTAATAATACAGACATTCATATCTCAGAGAGCCAAACCCCTTGGGCTGAGAGACTAAAAGCTCACTGGCTGAACATGAGTGTCTTGTTCAGAGCATTCTATTTGCCCTTCACTGCATGGTCTTCACCTCCCCAGGGCTCATTTCCCTCAGAACAGCAGCAGAGAGAGTGTGTATATGTGTGTATGAGTGCTTGCATATGTATTAGTGTAAATTTAGTGTTAGCATGAAAGCTCATATGACCTTCTCTGCTGTCCTCAACTCATTTATTTTTTCTGCATACTTAAAGACCTACACAATCACTGTTTCAGAAACTAGCTACCTCATATAAATGTTAGCATGCTAAAGCATCATAGGAACTCCAGATGTGAATGCACATAATTGATTACTTTGTTTTTATGGCAGTATTCCATATATCCTTCACAGACAAAAGTAGAAAAAGTGCTGATTAAACAGTCAAATTATTCATTCCATACTGAAAAGTACCAATGTAAATCATTTTAAAATATTACAAATTGGCTGTTTTACCTCTTTTTATGTGTGCTATGCAAGTTTCAACTTATTAGAATATGGAACAAATGGGCTAAAGGCACACTTTAAAGGGGTAATTAAATGCCTTTGTTTTTGTTTTTTTATTGTGTACTGTTCTCTGAGGTCCACTTGTAATGTTATCCAGATTTTTACATCAAAAACATCATAATTTAGAAGTAATAGGCTATTTTCTGTCCTGTTTTGACCCCCCTCATCAGGACGATCTGTTTGAATAGGCGTGGCAGATTGTAGACTCGGAAGTAAATGCCCACTGCTATGATTGGCTAACATTGTGTATGTTTGACAGTCTACATTCCTCATAGAAGGACGCTGCTGTGCGCTGCTGGTACATATAAAAAAATCTGTAATAACAGACAAAGCAATAGTGACCACGTAATGAAAACAGTTACTCACACTTGTGTCTTGCAACATTACTGTCGGATCCAATATAGTCGGCACATCAGTCTTTTAGTTCCAAACTTTCTGAAATTCCTGCGTCAAATTGTTTGTAAAGAATCCGCGGTAAAATTAAGTGAACAAAGGACCAAGTTCAAACTGACGCAGTCTGAAACTTCATTAAAAATAAAGTTCATCCAGTCTTTCCTAACGTTGGGATCAGAAGGAAGGCAATGCAAAGACTGTTTTTCCACAACTTGGCACTGCACAGCATCTTGTTGTCTTCAGAGCCATCTTTATCGTTTGGTTTCTGTGTAGACCTAGGTTTTCTCGTCTCGTTATTTACACTACATGCGCAAATCGGTGGGCAGGGCTAAACAGGCAGTGATGTAGAAGCAGGCGTTGATCTTCTTCTGAGGCGGCGGTGCTTATCCACACTATTACATCATAAAGTAGAACATTCCAAAAGCTGTGATTTTGGCAGACTAGCTTCAATATAAGCTATTTTTAGACTAACAAGAAAGTTTTGAGTTCTGAAACTTACAGGACGTTTTTATTATGTCGTATATGTCAAAAGATTAAGGCCATTTTGGTTTCTTATTTCATGACCCCTTTAAGGAAAATCCGGCTTTCACTACTCCCATACTGTATGATTGCTGAAACAATGTGTATTGTCTTATTTAGCACTGATGGAGCAATACATTTTGTGGTAAAATAAATAATAAAAGTTTGTTTATTTACTTATTTTTTTACACGTCATATAAATGTATGAGGTGGTACAAATACTTCAGCTAAAATAATTTTTTTTCATAATATCAAAACAGTTACTTCAGCAAAGTTTGTACCATATTATGATCTAAGCTTGTGTAGTCAGATTTAATGAATTTATGCCTTATAAGGATGCTGCTCATTCAGAAGCTCGCTACTTGCTGATTCTGTTAGTGTTCATCACCAGGTTTCTGCTCTGTGGGGGAGGTGGTATCAACTTTCTGACCTGCTGTAGAGACCCAGAGATGCAACACTGTGTGTCGTCTCCCACACACATGCTCTTGCTGTCTCTGTGTTTTTTTTAATCAATAACCTCTCTGTGCGCTCCTTAAACTTTTAACCCTGTCCTGTTCTATCAACAAAAAAAACAAAGAAACCCATAGGTCAGTCCAGTACTTGCACTCAAACTGTTGCTTTTCTCCTCTCATTTCCAGTCCATCGGTAATGCCAAGACCACCAGGAATGACAATAGCAGTCGTTTTGGGAAATACATTGAGATTGGCTTTGATAAGAAGTATCGCATCATTGGAGCGAACATGAGGACATATCTCTTGGAGAAATCACGTGTCGTATTTCAGGTAAGGAACACGCATGCATAATATATACATATATATGTATATGTATATATATCAAGCCCATTTTCTACTCTCTCTGGCATTTAAAATTAAACAGGCTGTTTGCTACTGTACCTTTAAAACTTGACTTATGTCAGGATTGCCTAACCTTTTGATTAAATGAGTAATTGTGCCTTTGGTATAAAATGCAGAATTAAATACTATTGATATATAAATTTGGGTGGTCAAATGTTAATGTATTGACAATTTCTTAGTGATCCAAAGATTAACTGTGCGCTTTTAAATCTTTGTAATGGTTTTTAATATGTCCAAAAAGGTTTTGTATGCAAAACACTTTGGATTCAAGACAGGGCTTTGAAAGTCATGCAATAGCTCTGTATAAGGAATAAATCATCACACCATAGCTCATCCCAAGAAATACGACATAGGTTTGACATCATTAATGATTAGTCATGAGACATGTAAGAACAAATGGCATGTGGTAGGGACTGGGTATTGACATAAATTTCACGATTCAATTCCGATTCACAAGCTTGCGATTCGATTAAGTTCTGATCTAGATTTGATTTGATATTGATTCATTTGGATATATCTCTCTCAAATACTGCTGTAAATCAGGGATCCTCAAATCTGGCCCACGAGATCCACTTTCCTGCAGAGATTAGCTCTAACCCTAATCAAACACACCTGAGCATGTTAATCAATGTCTTCAGGATCATTAGAAAATCACAGGTAGGTGAGTTTGATCAGGGTTGAATATGTAGCAAAATGCTCCTCTCTAGAGTCCATAAATCTAGCTAACTATCAAGCTTTGGCTATTGAATGTATTTTCTGAGGAAAATGTAACATTGTCACATTGTTTACAAGCATGGTTGAAGCGCTGATAGATCGATTATATAAGACATGGTACATTTCAGTAAATTGTACCATATCTTTCGACCTTCTGATGTTCATTCATGTTTATTTTGTGTTGTAACTAGTAGTAAAGCAAAAGAGATGAATGGTTTGTGCATGTTCTGTGCTGTCAGCTGTCAACAAGATGGCGCCGCAGACGGCCGCCTCAGTGCTTGGCTCAGTGTTTGTACTGTTTTTGTTAGTTTTTCCTGTTTTTTGTTTCTCAAACATGATCAGTTTTACCAAGGATGAACTGCTGAACATTCGTCAGAACACACCACAAAATCTTCTACCGGATTTCGATTATTCTGACGTTTTGCTGAACGTTGTAGTTGGCGGAGCAGCAGCGCTGATCAAACGCTTCAGGATGCGCAGACGGGGGAAGCGAGCCGGCGCGTTCATGAAGCTCAGACAGTTAGGATTTCGAAACTGTTGCCTAGCATCCATCTGGCAAATCTCCGCTCTCTACCCAACAAAACAGACAAACTTCTTCTGCTCTCCCGGACAAACAAGGATTTTTCAAACTCTGCTGCTCTGTGTTTCACGGAAACCTGGCTGAATGACGCCATTCCGGACAGCGTGCTACATCTGCCGGGCTTTCAGCTGTTCAGAGCGGACCGTGACACAGAATCAACGGGGAAATTGCGCAGCAGCGGGACATGTTTCTACATCAACGAAAGGTGGTGTACAGATGTAACAGTGTTAAAGAAGATGTGCTGTTCCGATCTAGAAGCACTCTTCATGAACTGTAAACCGTTCTATTCGCCGCGGGAGTTCCACTTGTTCATTCTCGTGAGTATTTACATTCCACCGCAAGCGCACGTGAGCCTGGCTTTACAGAAACTCGCTGAT